TGGGGGTGTGTTCTCATTGGTAGGGGGTTTGGCTGTGTTCTGATTGGTTGGGGGGTTGGTCGTGTTCTGATTGGCTGGAGGCGTGTTCTGTTCAGGTGGGGGCTTGGTTGTGCTGACTTAATCCTAAACCTAACTGTATCCAGCTGGGAGAAAAGAGATGAAACAAGGTGGTGCCAGGTTAGGAAAGGAAGCACAGGATCATGATACTAAAAAGAATACAAGTCTCCCAGTTTTTCTCCTCTACTCTATCCAGGCAGCTGTTCTTTTCTCTACCTGCTTAATTAAAACCTTGTTCATTAATAAGTATCAATGTGCGGGTAGACACAAACTGCCCACAGCATACAATGCTGCACAGACGACGCTCAGCAAGCCTATACGTTGTAAGCTTCTTAAATTCACTGATTATGGGATTTACTGTTATGGGATTTAGACATGACTATTTTTTTACTTCCACAATTCAAGCATTTTTACATGCAAAACAATTGAAAAACTTAATGTCTTTGTTATGTTGTTTTTAATATGTTTGGACAGAGACCGAGGCCTTCAATTATCTCAGATGCCTTGAAAACAAGCAAATTTCTTTCTCAAATTAACAATCCATTAAGAGACTAGAAATCTTCACGCCCTGAAATTTCACTATGCTGTGCAAAAGGGAGTGGCCTGACCCTGGAAAAAGAAAATATCACCCTAATTTTTGTTCTCCTTTGGTATCTACCATTTGACTACATGATAATAGATGCTCCATGAGCGGTAGACTAGTGGTGGAGGCTGTGAGTTCGATCCTAGGTAGAGGCAGGTATTTCTCACTCTGAGCACAATGAGTGCTCAGAACAAAAGTCCACACTGGTGACAGGAAGAACATCCAGCCAGTCAACGCTCAGCTCCATTCAGTTGCCCAGATTCCTTTGCAGGGGATTATGGGGTCATTAAAAGAAAAGATAATAGATGCTCCATAACAGAACATGGACAATCTTGAAGTTTCTACACTAAAGTAAGAGTCCAAAATTCACAACTCTGGTTTGGTGAAGGACTTTCCCTTGCTCAGTCATACGTAGTAAACTACATTCAGGAATGTTTGGACTGAGCAAACAAATATTTGCAGAACATCGTTAGCAATTCACAGAGGTGTCCATAAGGACTTGTAATGGGCACTGCATGAGCTACAAAGAATGCTAGTCTCAAATCCTACAGCAGGGGACAAAAAATATAACTCTGAGAAGAGTAGATGGGCTACTAATTCAATCTCTGCTTGCTCTCTTCTTTTTGGCTCAGCCTCGCCGCTTCCAAAGAAACTGGAGCAGCAGCTCGATCCGCTCCTAAACTTATGTCCCCTTCAGATTTCCTGGATAAATTGATGGGAAGGACATCAGGATACGATGCCAGAATCAGGCCCAATTTTAAAGGTATGCAGCCTTTTTTTCCCCCCAATTCCATTCCATTTTATTTAGATGAGAGCATGGTTTAGAAGTTTGTTAATATTAAAGGCTTTGTGTCATACCTTAACATTATACTCCATTCCCTGCCAAACAACAACTTCATGTTATTCTCATTCCTCCTTTTGGTGCACGTAATGGATGATGCAGACTAGATGGACAACAGTAACTGAAAAATAGAAGCAGGGGATAAAACAGACTGGAAACATTTAAAACCAGGGGTGCCGCCTAGAACGTCCAAATACTGGTCTGCAATAAAAACATGATTATTGCTTTGCAAAAGTAGACAACCAGCATTTTAAACAGAAATTTTTACCTGAGCTTCTTCTTTACCAGGTGAGATAAGGGGGAAAAACAGCACTTAAAATGTGGGGAAGGGGGTGTTTCTACCTGTGGACTAGACGGCCAAAATATCCCTGCATTTCTGAATGTTGCTGTATTTGTAAGTCCAGACAGCAAAGATTCTAACCAAAAGAAGAAGAAAATCTACTTCTAGGAGGTAAATAGCAGTTGCTTCCAGGAAGAAGCATGTTTAATTAATGAAAGAAATGATCATTTTATCCTCTGTTTAACAAATGTCTCCTGATCACCTTTTCTTACATGGTACATTCCGAAACTACTGGAACACAGAGGATTTTAGCCAGTGTACTGCAGAAATTGTACAAATACAAACAGAAAAGCTGAATATAGATCAAGTAATTTGAAAAATAGTTAGTAAACTGAAAAGGAATAGACAGTTTCATCTAGTTCATGTGTCTTGCATCATAATCAGAACTGTCCTATTGCCTTTAAATCATTGGATACAAAGTGGCCATCCACAGGATAAATATATTCAAATCCATGCATTTTTATGGAAAGTGAACATGAGATGGTTCTTGATTGCTTTAAAATGTGAATTGAACAAAGTCCTCCAGCAAATATGTTCCATTACATTACATTCAATGAGTCATCCCCAGAAAAACACATGCAATGTTACAACCTAAGAGTACGTATATTTACAAACTAATTCCTTAGTGTTACATTCTGTCTTCAACAGAATGTGCTCAGAAAGTGATTGCCAAGGTGTTACTAATTCTGAATATCAGCATTTTGTCTTTTACTGTCAACTACTCCTTACATTTCAATATATTAAGAGTGGATTCACTAGCTTAGAGAACAGAATGTGTAATCCAACACAACTGAAGTTTAATCAGTTGTTAGAAACACCCTAGGGATAGGCTGAGCATGATTGTAGCAAACCTCAAATATAATCAGTTAAAAAATTCTCATTGTCCAAAATGATAACTTGCCAAATATACTATCAATTTTATTGTTTAACTATAGATTTCCATATAACAAATGTCTATGAGATAGCCTGAAGATGGGAATTCAATTTCCCTATTGTATATTAACATATGTTGATTTCATTTCTACTGGGTATCCCATAATTATACAGTACTTACATCTTAAATAAATAGTTTATTTCAAAACATTATTTTTTCTCTTCTAGGGAGCAAACAGTGGACTGAAAACAGCTCTACTGTTTGAGTGGATTGGCTCTCTAATAATTAATCACTGAGTAAGGAGAGGAATTGAGATAGCTCACAAGTGCTCCAGACAGTTTCTCCTCATGAGGAGATCGCAAGACAGCTGGTTCTGGCAGATTTAGAGCTCAAAGGATGATTAAAACTTTGATTTTTGAAAGTGACAAATTAACTAAGGATCCAGATAAATTTGAAATAAAATTTTGGAATTAATTGTAAAGCAGGGTGTCAAACTTGATTTCACTGAGGGCAGCATCAGTATTTTTGCTTGACCTTAGGGGGCAGGGTGGGCGTGGCTAGGGTAGGCATGACCAATTTGATTTCACTCATGTTGGGGCCACCTGTGAAGGCCCGAGCGCTCTGCCAATGAAAACGAGCTCCTGATCTCTATTTTCGACCACAACAGCCTCCTGAAGCCCTTTGCCTACAAAAATAGAGCTCAGTGGGCACGTGTGTCCCCCTGGGCCCTGTTTTCAGCCATGACTGCCTTCAGCAACCCTCTGCCAGCAAAAACCAAGCTCCATGGGGTCCTCCCTTGCTCCAAGTTTGCTGGCAGAGGCACTGCAGGTCAGTCCTTCGCTGTTTCTAGTGTGGCCCTGTGGGCCAAATGTAAGCACCTTGTGGGCCAGATCAGGCCCTCAGGCCTTGAGTTTGACACGCCTGTTGTAAAGAATCCTTACAGGGAAAAATTCTTTTGTTTTGAATTCTTTTTAGAAAAACACACTTAAAAAGTCCATCTAAATTCCACTTAGATGGAACTAGAAGGAACTAAATATTATAACTGAAGGAGAAGAACACTGCAAATTTACAAATTCAAAATAAACCAGTTTATTTTAACATTGGGCATACTGTATATTTTTGAACAATGGACTCAGAAGTTATTTTTAAAAGTGTCTATTTCTATAGGCAGATTGTGTTTAAAAGATGCTATGAAAGAGAAACAAGTTTTACCTGACAAGATTGAGATTACTTTTAAAATTAAGCTAAAACTGACATGGAAAAAACAATGGACATACAAAAGAAACTGGTTGATGCCTTAATAATTAAAAGAGATACACAAATAATAAACCAAGAGAGTAACCTGGTTAATTTTCCTGTATTAGATTTATAAGAGAGACTTGTTAAAGCTTTGAAGAATTTTGTGATAAGGGGCAAAATAAAAATGAAAACAAGTTCTAGAACATAGTGTATATTTGAAGAGACTTGATCAAGATTGTTAGAAGTAAAAAGGAATATAATGTTTATTTATTTGATCAAGGCTAAAATATATGTGCTGTGATCTCTGATAATCCCTAATGGATTTTTATTAACATCAGGACTAAAATGTCTAAGTTTTAAGGAGTTAATAACCTTCCTGTATCTTTATCACTGTATGGATTACAATAATGTGGGAATTAAACAATTTAATTCAACAATTAAACTGAGCTGTCCCTAGAAATCAGTTAGAAAGGCCCTTACTTTGAATTAATTCACCCAAATTCATACACATCTATCTACAAATGATCATCTTTTACATTTTCATATTCATTACTATAATGCATACGCACATGAAACAAAGAGGAATTGGAATGGATTTATTAGACTTTACATTACAATTCAGGGGTGGGATTCAACTGGTGTTACTACTGGTTCAGTGAGAGTGTGTTTTGCTATGCACACATGTAGAACATTTGCAAAATGATGCCAGGACAGCTGACAAGCGCTGCGCGCGGGTGCACAGCATTTGAAAATCCTTTTCTTTCCTGCTGTTTCAGCTTCAGCTGTGCTGCACAAAGCAGCTGAGGTTGAAAAAGCAGGAAATATAGGACAGCCAAGAGCCTGGACAGGTGGAGGGGCCAAATAGATGACCAAAAGGTTGTTGCAGTGAACCGGTTCAGTGACTGCCGCTCTTCAGAGCTACCAGTTGTATAGTTCTATAGAACCGGGCTGAACCAGTAGCATCCCACCCCTGTTACAGTTGTTGCAGGAAGCACTGGGTTTGTACCAATGGTTTTTAAGTGTGTAGGTCATATAGATAAGTACATATATATTTCAAACACTTGTATGCCTACAACAGGAACATGAGCCAATGCTTAAACTCATTTTATGCATTTACACACTTCACGCATCACCTGAAAAATAAGCCATTATGTAATCTTAGCATTCCCAGTTAGTAATGGGGATTGAGGACTAAGAGATCAAAGAAGAGTTGATTTTCAGATGGCATGCACCTCATCTAGCAAACCTAGTGTTTATCCAGGATGATCTCATAGCCTGTGAAAATGTTTATCTTTTGAAATTCATGCAACAGCAGCTCCATCAGATTTGGACGATCTGTCTACATTCTGTCAGCACAAACATCCAAGCAAGGTCAGCCAAAAGAGCTGCTTTGAATGTGAACACTTTTTCAACACAGTGTGAAATCTCATCTGATAGGTAATATATCTGATAAGGGAAGCTGGCCAATTGATGTTGTACTGTCTAAATGTACCTTTTACTGCCAAGATCAATCACAGAGGGACCACTGTAGAAATCTCTATTATTTTCTGAGACTTCATTGTCCTAGAAGACTAAATAGAAATAATACTTTCTATGGATAGCTAAATATCTATTGAGTTTCTCAGTCATCCCGGTCATGGTTGTCCCAAATATGCTTTATTTTTTCAAGACACAACAGAGCTGAAGAAGTTTCTTGGATGAGAAGCAAAATGTCTTCAAAGAAAAATTAGAAAATCTAATTGCCTCTTGAAAAAAGTACCTTTGGAATACTTTGTATGATTTAATATATCCATTTTTTAAATAACAATGTGAGTCTTGAGCTATCAAACTTCAAAATAGTTGACGCTCTTTGAGCTTGATTGCAGATATTTCATTACCCAACTGTGTAACATCATCACACTTCTGCTAGATAAGTGTGTCTCTGTTTATATACAGTAGTTTATCATATCAGCATTGGTGGGAATGTGGTTTTCTTGGTTGTAGTTCCTTGATTGGGGTATTGTTTTCTGCTTGATTATTTTTGAGACATTAATCCCTGCTTATTTGGTTATTGGAGAGAAGGTGTTCTGGTCTTCTGGGTTTCTTCTTCGCTTTATTGGCTTTTTTGAATGATATGTAAATGTGGTTTGTCACTATATATCTATTGATGGCTGATTTGTCTGAACCCCAAGTTTCCAGGAATTCCCTAGCGTTGTTTTTTTTTTTTTTTTGATTTAGCTTAATGCTCAGCTTTCCATTTGAAACTATGGTTGAGTCTTCCCATGTTTTATGAGATGAAGGAGTTCTCATCATGTCTTCTGATTGCTAGTTGGTGTTCATGGTTGCACTCTACTAGTCTTCTGTCTGTCCTACATAGTGGCTGTTACAGTCCTTACACTCTATGTAATAGATAACTCCAGTATTTTCTTCTTGGGCAGCTGGATCTTATGGCTTATTTTGGAGGTCTTTAGTTTGTGTGCCATGGTGATG